TTGCTTCACGTGAACATCTATATGCTGCTTTCAACCGGCTTTTATTAAATTTGTCGACTTTACCACTGCGCGTTTCTATATGCCAACAACTTAGGTCATACATACCAATACATCAACCAACTTTGTAATAACTTTGCACAATTTTGCAATCACTTTGAACAACTTGGCACGGTGTGTTAACAGCTTAAAACCCGCTACATATCGTCAGCGTCAACAACATGTACTTGGAAATTAAAATTCATGCTTTCGAATGTTTTAAAATCGGCGTCGGTCGGTATTATGGCTATCTCCTCATGCTACATCCCACACATAAAGTGACCCCCATTAACAAACTTTATGGTCGTGCACACAAATCACACTCTTGGCGACCTCATTGCAGACATACTTACCCCCTGAGTAAAAAGCACATCCACACTTTCGTATTGTAGACGGATAGAGTATGAGTAGATAATTATCCAATACCAGCTTCAAAATAATCTGCGCATATTATTAAGCTAATTTGCATATTAAATAATTGTATTCAACATGTTCTGTATCCTAACATTTATGTTCCGTCTCTATTAGTTGAAATTTGCTTCACTGAAGACTGTGCTGGTAAAACATGTAACCAATAGTTACTGTAATTCAATTGTCAAAGATTCAAGTATTTGTATAATATATACATGATACAATGTAAATTTCAGAGTATAGTTATTGATTCAAAGGATTTTCAAAATACTTTATGCTATTGTTTTGCTAAATTAGTCATGCCACATTACATTTTTTATCGGTGATATTGGCAGTACATATATAAAAATGCTGCCATGAAAGGTGCACATCAATAAGCAAATTTACACCTGGCAGAATGTTGAACCATTTCTATATGGATATGTTGATAACTACTAGGGACACACTACTTCTACAACAAATTTGATTAATGTTCATTGGTATGATTTAAAATAGGCCTCCCACAATTAGTTATATTGATAAGGTCACTGGGCCTGTAAATAGTTGCAGTTTTTCTACATGTGTCAAGTGATTCGAAAATATAAAGCCGCAAAAATGTACTTTCGCCCTTCTGTATGGGTTCTGGTTAGCGCATGACCAAGCACACTACACACGTGTATTCATAAATATACTTGGGGTGAGGCACAATAGATTATTACGTAGACCAGTATGTATAAAGATGGAAGGGATATATTCAAATGATAACTGTGTTTGCTGGAAATCGCTAAATATGAACATATGTCAAATGCAAAAAATAAATTAGGCTCAGACTCCTAATGAATATTAATCTCATCGCAAATAACGAATATCCTTGCCTTTGTTTATTCCAGGTATTGACATATTACCGCAAATGATTGATTATGCCAAAACGCATAGCATGATTACTGGAAAAATGGAGTATTTACAAGGAGATATATGCACATTAGTGAAATACCATCCACAGTTAAGTAATCTACAGGGGCACAGTAAAAGTTGCTAGTAATCAGATGACTCCCCATGAAAAATGGAAACACCAACTACAGGTATGAGATTTTATTTATGTTCTCATTGTACTATAACTCGACACATTACTGATATGTGTACCCGATTTGTTGTCTCTTCTTGCTTTTGTTATGTGTGAATTACAGTGCTTTAGGTACACATATAGTTTAATTTTTGCACCCATAAAAATGTCATATGACTGATATAATTTACGCGATAGAAATACTCGGTACGACCCTAAAGAAATAATATTGTTGCAATTCCGACATAGAGATAATTTTGTTGAAGTGGATTACGATATTGATTTCTATCGTTCTGATTATATTTTCTAGATTTTGTTAGACCCTTTCTTGGCCAGCTTAATGTTATACCACCAAACCAACACGAAGACTTCCTTCAAGATAAACTCACATGAAGGTTGTGAGGCCAGGATTTATGATAATTCGTCATTATTTGTTTGGGCATGTGTTCATGCATTTAATACATGTTGGTATACCACTTTTTCTTAATTAAAGGTGATACCCGAACATAAAGATAAATTAGTTTAATAATACCTTTTCACAATACAATTTTTGCTACATTTTTGATAAACAAAACAATCTGTGTTTTATGTATATATCATTACATCTTAGTATGTTGTAAGCAATATTTTGCAAATTAGAATGTTGAATATTGTCAAGCCTATTATTTTCCAAAATTGCAAATTGTATTCAAAAATCCAAAATTCAAAGAATGATAATTCAAAAATATTTATGTTTCAAAACATAAATTTAAAGGAGGCCGTTTCCTTACTAAACAATTCATTTCTTGAATAAAATCATCTTCTTAATATGTTTTTGTACAAACGTTATGTAAAGTGCATTATTAAAGCCAATGTCACAATCCTCAATGTGTACTATGAATAATATGAAGTATACTTTAATATAATGTTGTCACGTATTAATTACGCAATTCTTTGCACTGTATAAATATGCACTATCTAATAACTTTGTCGTCCTTAATTGGAAACAAAAATTATACAAGTAATGAGAAATTTTAGCATATAACAAGTAGTAGGACCCTTAAATATAGTAGTTTTTAGGCCATGACCAGGTTCTGAATTTTCTATTTTTTTAAAACTTGTTTCACGTACATTAAACGTACATTCCCTTCAACTCGCTGGACATGTCTGAATACGAGATGCAGCTTGTTTCTTGTGTTTGCTATCTTTTTATCAAATAAACTGTGGCTCAACAGAACCTCACTATCAGGAGCTTTATATTCAATAATGCACAGCACCAACGAGTATACACTATAAACTACGCAAATTAACATGTCAATTAAAACGTATGAGTTTAAGTGTTACTTAATATTACCTTTAATCTAAGTCGGTATGATGAAACAAGTTCATTTGTTTTTCTCTGCGTGGAGTGGTTGAATCTAAAAATTATGAAATGTTTTTTCTGCTCAAATTTGAATTGGTGTTTGTAGCCGCTTTCGCGTAGAGATTTTCGATAGGGAGGTACCGCAATGTCAAACATACTATATATATATATATATACCTTAATATAAGTATTCTATTAATGCACTGAAGAAAATGATTAACTAGATAAATAAAGAACACATATACAATGAACACGTCAGTACGAAATGCTAAAAACACAATATTATGTTGAATTATGCATAGTCAAGGATTGTGTAAAAAACTTTATTAGATATTTATTCTAAAATTCTTAATAAGGTAAATATTTCGTCAAAAAAGATGTGAACGACATGTAAGCGTGTTATACCGAGTTACTAAGCTGTGGTAAACTGTTTCCTACAAAAAAAAGGCATATCGTTTAATAAGTTCTAGTAAACTAATATTTATACTACAAGACTGTTTCACAATGCAGACTAAACCTGAATAATTCACTGCATGAAAATTTACGTACTAACCGTTTTCCGGATTGACAATGTTTTTTTTAATACGTAAGCGCCGCTAACGTCGTCCTAAGTATGTGTTTGAATTTCTGTTGTATCAACTTCAAAGTTGTCCGATCCGTTCGATACGTTCAGTGTAAACAGCGAAAATTCACAAATTCGAGTCTAAAGATCTGATATACTAATTTGCCTGTTGTATATTTTCAGAGTAAATTGACGAACAACTCAAAGTATGTCGATCACACACCGTGAACTGCGGCGCTGTTGGTTTGACATGATAGATATTCAGGATGGTTCTCAAATAAAAATGGCTTCATTTGGCTGCCTTCGTCATTTTATCATTTTGTGTTTTGTGCAAGTGAGTTTAGAATAGACTCAGTACATACTTGTTATTGTAAACACTATATTTGTAAGGTAACGTACATTTTACCACAACAATTTTCAGTATAGTCGAGTGTTTAGTGTAGCTAATGTGTGGGAAGGCAAATTAGTAACTGCGTTTATGGTTTGAGACTTTTGTACATTATTGTTAGTTCAGTGTAGTTTATCGACAATTTTATTTGTACATCCGTGATACATGAATGATACACTGAAGGATGGTATTCATTTGTTTAGTTACACGTCGTTAGCTAAACAAGGTCACTATCAGTATACCGTTGTGTCAACGAGTCGCACACACACACGCACATGTTTCACCTAAATGCTTTAATATACATGCCCGGGCAATATACGTAAAAACGATTACAATTTTAGACTGATACAATGAGACTAGTCCACACCGCACGAAACACCGAATACCGTGTCATTGAAAACACGAAGCGAACAAGAGATATTACCGGTGATCTTTGACCTTATAAATTTATAAGTAATCTATACTTAATATCCGGCATACTTCAACCGCCACACCTGTTTGTAAGCATTTGTATGACACTGATGAATTTAAGTTGAATTTAGCGTGAAGTAACATAAAGTAAGTCACACCGTATCTCTGCATGATTGTTGAAAGTTTGCTGAAATGCATATTGTTGTGTAATTGTCATTATTGAGCCCGACGCTTTGATTTGGCTGGTGCCTGTCAATAAAACAAAAACGATGTCATAGGGGCCGCCATTTTGAATTCGTAGCACCTATATTTATGTCTTCAATTTATAGTGGTTTTCGATGTTTTAGGGTAACGAATGTGCCTCACAGAGATATTCTCATTGAAAAGGAATGTTGATACTAACACATATTTGAATTCAGCGATAATTGTTTTGATGTGTTAATAAATTTAGTAAATAAGCACTACATATTCGTAACAAGCGAACAATCAACTTGGGGCTCTGAAA